TTGAGTAAGAGTTCCCTAAACGCTTATCTAGCTCTCTGACTGCTGGTTCACATAATTACAGTAGCTTTTATGGTCTAGATAGGAAATCGGATAGAAAGGAAAGACATTTTAGTGATAGCAATTTATTGCATTTGTTGACAGATTATGAAAGCATTTATAATAGCATGGAAGTTATGTCTTGCAGTGTGACATGTTAAACTACATCCATTTCAAACATTTTTTAAAATAATTATTATTTTATATATTTCTTTAGATATTTATAATTATTTTTTTAAATGATTTATAATTTTAATATTTTTAGAATACATTTATAAAATAAAAAAATATTTATATATTTGTATTATTATTTATTATTCTACAATAACATAAAAGTTTTGTACTGTAGTGTCACATGCGACTCTTCTATCAAATTATTTACATTTGTTTTTTTATAATAATAATTTTTTATAATTAACAAATATTTGTATAATTATAAAAAATAACAATACAATTATTTTAAAAATAATTATATATATACAGTGGGTACGGAATGTATTCAGACCCAAAAATGTACTTAAATGATTTTCGCAAATGGCTGCAATATAACAAAGAGTGAAAAATTTAAGGGGGTCTGAATACTTTCCGTACCCACTGAATGTATAATTTTTATTTCAAATAATAAATTATATTTAGATATGTTTATATTATTATTATATATTATATATTTATTATATTTATATATTTACTAATTTAGAGACTGTCTGAACTTTCAGTTAGTCAAGTCAAGTCACCTTTATTTATATAGAGCTTTTAACAATACAGATTGTGTCAAAGCAGCTTTACAGTATCAAATAGGAAAATAGTGTGTCAATAGAGGCAGAAGGACAATAGTAAACATTCATTTTTCAGTTAAAGGCAGTTCATCATTTAATTCAGTGATGTCATCATCCAGCTCAGTTCAGTTTAAATAGTATCTGTGCAATCAAGTCGATGATATCGCTGGATATTAAGTGTCTAAGCAAGCCAGAGGCGACAGCGGCAAGGAACCAAATCTCCATCGGTGACAGAATGGAGAAAAAAAAATTCTCCCCCAAAAAATTGACACTCTGCATGAACTTTTAACTTGAAATAGTGAAGGGCATAAAAATATTAAAGGGGTCATATGATGTTGCTAAAAAGAACATTATTTGGTGTAATGAAATGTGTTTATGTGGTTTAAGGTTCAAAAACACATTATTTTCCACATACTGTACATTATTGTTTGATTGGCCAGCTATCCAGTGCGTTGTGATTGGCCGAATACCTCAAGCGTGTGACGGAAATGTTACGCCCCTCACATACTGTGATGCCCTGTCCGGCCGGAGCGACGAGACAAACACATTAAAACCCATTATAAACGAGGCATTCGTTGCATCCAGTGGGGACATAATTACTATTCTGTCTTTTTACGCATTGCGTTGCATCGCGTTGCGTAAACATAAAACCATGTCTGCATTTGTGATCGGAGAAATGACAAACAACAAGCGCTACTCTACACTCTACACTGCCCAAAAAACTCGCTTTAAATATAAAAAAACGTACTTACAGTCTTTGAGTCAGAACAGCCGGCATTGTAGTCTACTCTCCCAGGATCAGGAGACAGTCCTCCATAAAATGCGCTGCACACATCTGAATATTTGGGTTGAAGTGTTCTGGAACAGTGATGTAAATACAAGCTTTCACAACGAAACACACAGCGTCTTCACGACATGGCGGCGGCAGCAACAAAATTACAGCGAGAATAAAAGTTACGCCTTCTTTCTTTGCGTGAACATTTGGGTGGCGTTATGCAAATCTTCCCACATAGTGACGTAGACATGTGGGGGCGTGTTAGAACAAGCCGTTTTAGGTAGGCGTGGCTGACTCTTAACTTTTATAAAGAATATCTCTTTGGATTTGAGACTTTAGTCTTTGCAACTTTACAGATCTTCTTTATGCACCAAGAGCTTGTAACACTCCAAAGAGAAATAGCATCATATGACCCCTTTAAATAAAAATTTGAATTTATGATAATTTATTGATTTTTATATTTGTATAATTTGTTTATAATTTGTGAATGCATACTGTATATGAAAAAAGTATATTACACTTTTCCATTTCGTGTAATTCAAATCTTACTGATTAAAATAAACCATATTCATACATGCAAAATATTTGCATTTTGCATGTTTAGAAATAAATAAATAAATACAAAATGGATTTTTTTTTTTTTACTTTGTGAGGGAGTCAAGCACACGTATGATTTTAAATGTGTGCAGATGAAGCAACAAGCAATTAGTATGTAGAAGAAGCTGGATGGAGGAGAGCAGAGCAGCACATTAGCATAGAGGATTACTGCAGCTTTACGACTCGAGCTGGAGCCGCTGGCCACGCAAACCAATCATAACCTGTGCCCAAAAACCACCTCTGGGGCCTGTTGGGTTCCGACACACACACACACACACACGTACGTCTGGTCAGCTATCCTTGTGGGGAATCTCCATAGGTGTAATGGTTTTTATACTGTACAGACTCTATATTCTATTACCCTACCCCTAAACCTACCCCTCACAGAAAACTTTCTGCATTTTTAGATTTTCAAAAAACTTCATTCTGTATGATTTATAAGCTTTTGTACCCGTGGGGACCACAATTTAGGTCCCCACCGTGACACGAGTCCCCATGAGTCTGTGTGTAGTCAGGTTTAAGTCCCCACCAGGATATATAAACCAGTACACACACACACACACACACATACATACACACACGAACAACAGCTGAACGACGTCTCCTCTTACACACTCATCCAGAGAGACGCGAGAACGATACGTCATGTTTCTGATCGGATTAGCCGAGCCTCTCTGTTGAATTATATGGCTGGAGGCGTAAAGTATAGATGGGAGGCGTCGCTGAAGGCCGCTGCCATGGGCGTGTTCATTTGTTTAGCGTCCAGTGGCCAGATGAACAATAATCAGAGGAGTTTAGCAAACAGGATCGGGCCGGTGTGATGCTCCAAATGCGGCTAGAAAGAGTCCAAACAGCTCAATCATCCTGGCAGTCCATCTGTGTGTGTGTTTGATCACGCTCATATGATGATCTCTACACGTCAGTGTCATGTGTGTGTGTTTCTGAGTGCAACCAAAAATATATATATATATTCCAGCAGAGTAAAACTGTAAAAGAAGAGTACAGTGCTGTAAAATCAGCACTGGGTTTATATAATAGTGTCAAAATAAGTTCTGTTACTGAAGCAAGTTTTGGAGATTTCAGTTGTTTTCTAGATGGAGCTGTAAATTATAACCAATAGCTTGTATGGCCTAGAAAGAAAGTCAGATAGAAAAGAAAGTCATTTCAGTGATGGAGCAAATTATTGCGTTTGTTGACAGATTATGAAACCATTTTTTGCTTTGATGTAACTTGAAAGTGACATTCTGTAGTGTGCCATGTTAAACTGCTCTGTTCTGTGCTATTCTATTCTATATATAAACTATTATGTATTATTACTATTTGTTTATTTTTATATTATCTTTATAATATTCTAAATACTGTGTGTGTGTGTGTGTGTATATATATATTGCAGTTGTTATTTTTATATATATGTTTATGTGCTGAAGAGTTATGCATTACTAACATTTTAATATGATCGTACAGGTGCAGTTTTAAGCAGATGTGTAGTAAGATCAAAAATGAATAGCATCGGGTGAATTACTGACGCAAATTCCATCAACTTTAAACTATTTTGCTTTATTTTATAATAATTATTCATGTTAAAATTAGTTTTAATAATAATAATGATGATGATGAATGCAATATTCATAATTATATTAAATATATATTTTTTAGAAAACACTTGGATTATGGGAGGTCACGCGTGTGAGCTGTTAGACTGCACATCCTCGCGTGTGTGTGTGTGTGTGTGTGTGTGTGTGCGTGTGTGAGAGTGTGTGTGTGTGAGAGAGTGCGTGCGTGTGTGTGTGTGTGTGAGAGAGAGAGTGTGTGTGTGCGTGTGTGAGAGTGTGTGTGTGTGAGAGAGTGCGTGCGTGTGTGTGTGTGTGTGAGAGAGAGAGTGTGTGTGTGCGTGTGTGAGAGTGTGTGTGTGTGAGAGAGTGCGTGCGTGTGTGTGTGTGTGTGAGAGAGAGAGTGTGTGTGTGCGTGTGTGAGAGTGTGTGTGTGTGAGAGAGTGCGTGCGTGTGTGTGTGTGTGTGAGAGAGAGAGTGTGTGTGTGCGTGTGTGAGAGTGTGTGTGTGTGAGAGAGTGCGTGCGTGTGTGTGTGTGTGTGAGAGAGAGAGTGTGTGTGTGCGTGTGTGAGAGTGTGTGTGTGTGAGAGAGTGCGTGCGTGTGTGTGTGTGTGTGAGAGAGAGAGTGTGTGTGTGCGTGTGTGAGAGTGTGTGTGTGTGAGAGAGTGCGTGCGTGTGTGTGTGTGTGTGAGAGAGAGAGTGTGTGTGTGCGTGTGTGAGAGTGTGTGTGTGTGTGTGTGTGTGAGTGAGAGAGAGAGTGTGTGTGTGTGTGTGTGTGTGTGTGAGAGTGCGTGCGTGTGTGTGTGTGTGAGAGAGAGTGTGTGCGTGTGTGAGAGTGTGTGTGTGTGAGAGAGTGCGTGCGTGTGTGTGTGTGTGTGAGAGAGAGTGTGTGTGTGTGTGTGTGTGTGTGCGTGCGTGTGTGTGTGTGTGAGAGAGAGGGTGTGCGTGTGTGAGAGTGTGTGTGGGTGTGTGTACTTGTTTATGCTACATTGTGGGGACCAAATGTCCCCACGAGGAAAGTAAAACCTGATATTTTTGACATTGTGGGGACTGGCATGTGGCCCCACGAGGGAATTTTTTATATTTTTTTAAATAGTAAATGATGTTTATCTGAAAGTGTAACAATGCAAACAGGTTTTGTGTAAGGGGTAGGATTAGGGTCAGGGGATAGAAAATATCGTATGGTCAGTATAAAAGTAAAAGAAGTCTATGGAAAGTCCCCAAAATTCATAGAAACCTAACGTGTGTGTGTGTGTGTGTGTGCAGGTCTGGTGGTGCGGGAGGCCAGTATCGAGATCACCCGTCAGCAGGTGGAGGAGCTCTTCGGTCTGGAGGATTTTTGGTGTCAGTGTGTGGCCTGGAGCTCGGCAGGAACCACCAAGAGCCGTAAAGCCCACGTCCGGATCGCCTGTAAGTCCAAACACACTACAGCACACACCTGAAACACAAACAGGACCTGAGACGACATGGAGGAGTCTATGCTGACGTTTCCCTTTCCTCTGGTGGAGCTGTGTTGCGTTTACATTCTTGTGGTGGTTTTCCTCATTTAGTGTTGCTAACAAAAGCAGCATCCTTAATCGCACCAATCACAGCGCTGGTGTTTATAAGCAGCTGCTGAGCTCACGCCGTCCAGCAGCCTTCTCCTGAAGAGTATATCTACGGACAGAAATCAAGCTTGATGTTGCATGTCTCTCTGCGTCTCAAACACAGATAGATACCTTTACAAACCTGTTTCAGACAATACAGTGACATTAGAAAGGTGTGTGAATGTGATTTATTAGATCAGGCAATCACAAAAGTTTTTATCAGTCAAACCCCTTTCAACTGAAATATGTACTTATCCCTGAGATTTTAAGGTAATATTTCAATTATATAACAACACATTTGACGCATGACATGCAGGTAAGCAGATAAAACATTTCATGTATTTTTAAAAAGATTCTTTATGCAAATTTTTGTGTATTAATAATTAAATATAAAAAAATAGTTAAATCATAAATATAACAAAATATTTTGTATTTTTTTAAATACATTTTTCTTTTATGCATTTTTTGTGCATTAATAACTAAATATAAAATAAATACTTAAATAAAAAATAAATATAACAGATCATTTTTATTTTATTTTTAAAATTTTTTGTTTTATGCCATTTTTTGCATTAAATATAAAAATAAATACTTAAATAAATCATATATATAAATATTTCATGTATTTTTAAACATTTGTATTTTATGTAAATTTGTGTATTAATAATTAAATATAAAAATAAATGCTTAAATCATACATATAACAAAATATTTCATGTATTTTTAAACATTTTTATTTTATGCAAATTTGTGTGTATTGATAATTAAATATAAAAATAAATACTTAACAAAATCATATATAAAATAATTCAAATGAAAAAAGGAAAATTTTTAATTTTAATTTATATATATATATATGTTTATTGTTTTTGTTTATTGTTTATTCTTGTTTCTTGTTTTATTTAAACATTTGATTTAATAAGTAAAAATAAAATAATAAAAAAATATAATACAAAATTGAAAGTTTAAATAATTTTTTTAAATTTATATTCACTGCAGATTTTCTTAGATTTTCTCTCCTTGTATTTACATTTTTATTTACTGTAAAAGACACTTTTGTTGATATTATATGATCTAGAGATTTTTAGGTGTGACTAAAATGTGCTTCTATTTGGGCTGCTGTTATATCGCTGAGAACGGTTGGTCAGTTTCCAGCAGAGAGCCGTGGTGAAGCAGCTTGTTTTTCCAGCATGAGGAGCCGCTGCTGTACTGAAACCTCATTCGCTCTCAGCTCAGACGGAGGACATCTTCAGCGTGTGAACGAGAGATGCGTCCGCTGTGTGAAATGAGTCCGTCATGAGACCAGCACATTTCTCATTTCTTCATGAATCACACTGCTCTGATCGGGCTGTTTGTTTATTTTTGCATGCAGCCTTGGAACACTGCAGCCATTTATTGTCTGTTTAATTCTGTTTTGCTGTAGATTCAGGAGGAAACACTACAGTATTTGCTTTTTCAGTGAAACACTGCAGCTGGCACCTGGTTAGGGCACTTAATTACTCCTCCTCGTTGACCTGTTGATCTCCTCATGGGCTTTAGTTACAGTCGATCGCTCAGTCGAGCTGGTCTCAGGTCAGTGTTCTGCTCTAATGATCGTAACCTTTGATTCAAATCTAAACGAGTCTCTATTCAGAGGCTAATGGAAACCGCAGCGATCATTTAGCCTTTTTCAGCGTCCCGTCTGTGACAGATGTTTTAATCAGGGCCTGAGTAACACTCCAGAGCGATAAATAAGCAGCGTTTTGTTGTTGTGGATCGCTGATCAATGGAAGCGCCGTAAAGTTCAGGAGCTGTAGAAAGCTGGCACTCTCATTGAGAATATTAATGGAGAGCGTGATTTGTGAGCGTGTCGCATCGGGCACTTCCAGCGTGAGTTATGAGGGGACGAGCTTCGATCCGGACGCAGATGCTGTTTAACACGGACTCACACACTGCTGTGATTTACCTCCACACAACACAACTAGAGAAAGAGACTCACAATAGCACACTACTGTGATGCTCACACTAGCGCTGCTGTGTGTTTACTGTCACAATGGAATACCTGACTGAAATACTGCGTTTGTCAAAATGCACAATATATGTATCCGACAATGCAATGCACTTGACTTGACCTTCCATTTACAGTGTGATGAATGAACTGGAAGTCATAACAGCCTTTATTTATAACCTTTTTACTGGCTTTTACCTAAACAGACTGCCAAATTGTAAGACACAATTTGTTTTAAAATGCAAATTTATGATTCATTTGTAAGATGATAGCTAGATGCTGGTTATTGTGTTGGAAAAAATAGTATTTTACTATATTTTAAACTGCATTTTATTTTACTGTATCTATACACATAAAACTTAAAAGTGATTTTTTTTTTTATATATATATATATATTTTTAAAATTATGTTGTTTAAAAATGTTATCTTTTTAAAATTATGACAAAGTATTAACTGTATTTGATTTTACTACTGTATATATACATAAAACTTAATACTTAAAAATAAGTATGTTTGTATATATGCATGCATGCATAAAATTTATTTAAAATATTTTGAATTACATTTGAATTACATTCAAGTTTTAAGAAATAGTTAAGCATTTGTAATGCATAAAAAACTTAAATATTAGTTATATAATAATAATATTTGTAATATTTTTATATTAAAAATTGCTTGCCGTATACTGTGAAATATGGTGCATTTTGGCAGTAGGCAGTATGCAGTTTAGTTTTTCAAACAACCTATATTCAAAATAGCATACTAGAATACTACTATTACCATTTCTGCAAAATATAGATATAGCAGAAATTATAGTACGCTATTCTTATCACTGCAGTCCTTCATGCTTGATGTTCAGAAGAGAATACTAGCTTACTCTTATTGAATACTGCAGAGTATGCTCTGTATACTACCTACTGTACTATTCATTTAGTCAAACAGTATGCATTATTCCCTGACAAACCGTTTCAAACACTGTCACATACTATTGCATGTTTAATTCAGTGAGAGGCATCCAGATAAAATTATTTTAGCATTTATAATCTAATTATGTGTAAATATTTACTTAATGTCGCAGCCTGATCAAATAATGAATCATAAAAGATGTTAAAAATCACAGTTGACATTTCAGTTGTTAGACTGGAAGTAGGTTGAGTGCAGTGCAGTGCATTATGGAATGCAATATATTCTGTGCAGTGTGCACATTTAGTAGGTCATCTGGATATTTCAAGCATATGGGAAAATATCATACTATACTTGGTATGCACGCTATATATACTGCAGCAATCATAGGCGTAGTATGCTGTCCCAGTCTCAGTGTGTACTGAGGGCTGTTTTGTGGGTTTGGACGCTGATCTGGATGCAAACTCGGAGATTAAAGCTCAAATCAAATGCCGGATTCCTTCATTGGTGTTCTCATTGGCTGACGAGAGACTTCAGCAATGTAAATGGTCCTTAATTCACTAAACTGTGTAATTTAGCACAAGTAGCCCAACACATGCACTCAGTGTAATTGTTTTCACATGCGTCCACGTGTGCGGCCGTGGCTCGGCAGAGGAGGCTCATGGGAGCACGAGTGCGGTCAGGGGTTCGAGCGGATCTGCTTGCTGTGTTTGGCTGAGAGGAGCCGTCATCATCGTGGCCAACACAAGCTGTGAGATTCCCCCCGAAGCCAAAGCCAACAGGAGACGCTTTGTTGTGTGTGTTTCCCTCAACGCATTTCATACAGTGGCAGATCTCAAAGCAAACTCCACTTTTAGAAAGGAAATCTGTGTTTCATTCTTCTTTCTGTTGTGTTGCTAGGGTGTTTTGGGTGGTTGCCAGGGTGTTTGTGAGTTGCACGCTGAATTTTAATACTTGATGTCAGAGGTTTGTTTAGAATATTTATTGTATAAAACATTTAATGTTTTCAGGCCTTTGTAAGATTCAGCTGAAGTTAAATGCTTGAATGAAATCTGACTAATGTTTGCATGTTTAAAACTCACTAATGTGTTACCAGGGTTGCTTGATTTCTATGAGGTTGCTAGGTTGTTTTGGGTGGTTGCTAAACAGTTTCTAGGGTATATTTTGCCTGTTTTGTTGTCTAACAGTTGTTAGTATAGCTCTCGTGGTACTGTAATACAGTGTTTCCCAACCTTTTTTTAGTCGCAAATAAAAAATAACGACAGGCCTTCGAATTAAATAAATTGCTTTTTAATTTTCAGGTAGGTCTAACAGTAGGGTTAAGATATTTAACCTTTTTTTTTATTTTTTTTTTACCAATTATCCAAATAATGTTTAGTCCTAGAAAGCTATTATTATCAGGACACGTGAGCATAACATGCAGTTAGCAGATCAATGAATGAGAGAGCATGAACGGTATATGAGTGGAGCGACTGAGCGGAGCGCACACGCATAGAGCGGATAATACGCAGAGCGTCACACCACGTGAAAGTGAAACCTGAGCGGTGAACTAATTTTCGGCAGCCGGAATTTCGGTGCATCTCTAATTATTGGCGACATCAGAAATGGATATTATATAATAGCAGCTTTTTTGAACATTTTAGCAATTTAAAAATATTAAAAAAGGATTTTTTACACGGCACCCCTGCTCTCAACAGATGGCACCCCGGTTGGGAAACACTGCTGTAATACACTGATCTGTCTGTGCCGCGTCAAGTCGAACACACCTACTAGTTTACACCGTTAACACACAGAGATGTGGCGCACACGTGAGGCTGTAGTGTAAAAGCGACCAACCCCTTTAGATGTAAGGCTACATTTACACTGGTGCATTTTTGTTTTAAAATGAAAACGATCCTTGTCCATACTGGCGTTTCCATTGCGTTTCAGAAAAA